TCAGGGCACAATGGCCACCAAAATCTCCGGATACCAATCCGTTTGACTATTGTGTCTGGAGTATTGAAGTAATACCCACTGTCCTGAATCTTTAAAATATCCGTCTCAGCACTCACATCTCTAGAAGACATTTATTATGAGCTCGTTCTTCCATACCGCAATGGGAATAGGAAAATGAAGTGGGTTTAGCTCGAATGGTGACTATCGTCCTTACACATCCTTGGTAGCCTATGGCAACAATTTAATTAAATCCATTTAGGTTTGCACCCTTTTGCTCTTCCCCGGGCACGGGACAAAACATTGTAACTTTTTGTGCTCTTCCATTTTTCTTCTTCATCTTCTTCGTCATCTCCTCGTCGTTTTATTCCCAGAGACCATCGCCACAATTGCGGTAATGTTTCACCGCATTTATTTTATGAACAAAAACGTAAATATACAATGAAGAATAATAGCCATGCGGATTTGATATGGAAATTATAATCCTCTGTTTAAATGGCACTTTGAGCCATGGGAGAGGTCAAAGCGGAAATGGAACCCGAAATGAGATGGAGGATAATTTTCCCGGTCGCCAATACATACAAACATGGCGGTTCTTAATTTTGTATGAATATAAAAAAATTGGACTGTTTAGGAGCCGCCTTTCGCCGCATTGCCCCCTAAAGGAGTTCTAGGGGACAAGCGCTAATAATTCTTATCTTTCTTAGCCACGTCGATATTTTTAAGAATTTTTAAATATTTCTATTGTAATTTGTAAAGTTTAATTTATAATTCTAGAATTGTATTTATAATTCCAAATATTTCAATTGCAATATTAGAATCAAGGCCTATAAAGGGTCGGACAAAATACTACTTTTGACCCGACAACTTTTAGATTATGATCTGGGGTGGGAAATTTCAAGTGGAGGTGATAGTATTCGGTTAGGAAATCAACATCTCAGGACAAACTTAACCCTCAACCACACATAAGAATTCGCAGAATCATTTAAACAAAATTTGGGTCATTTAGGTCCACGTTTTGGATAGCCCCCATAAATATATTTTAGACATAGTTTTCATACTAAAATCGGAAAATCTTGGTAATTTGAGTTCATAGCAAGAAGAAGACAACCTTGCAAAAAATATCAATATAGACCCACGTTTTGGTATAACCCTCATTTGAAGGTATCCCCTGATTTCAACTATTTCCAGGGTCTTGGCAACATATTTCTATCGATTTGGCCCTTATTTGGCATATTGGTTTCTATAGGAGTAGAAACCACCTTCGCAGAAAATGTTTATTGTAAATCAATGTTTCTGAGTAGCGCCAAGTGCCTCCTGATTTAACTTATTTCGAAAGTTTGTATTCAGGCTAGTTAAGCCAATATTCTCTGGGGGTGGAAAATTCTTGAGTTACAAAAGGTAATTCACGAATTACAAATAAAACGTCCAGAATGCGCCTAGCAATCTCGGCATTATCCATTCATCTTTCTTCAAGATCTCAGCTCCTCATATCTGTGAACTATCCTCCCAAAGAAGCCAAGCAGTTCTCTTTTTTTATTTTGGCAGACACTTTGGCCATTATTGCAAGCATTACCATTAGAAAGCCATAATTCAGTTGTTGGCTTATAAATCAGCTCATTAAATGGATGGACATGCTGCTTATGTCTGTCTGACTCTCAGTCCTCTGGCAGGACGTTAAAACGATTGCAGTCTTGAGCGTTAAATGCGTCTGGCAATTTTGTCACTGTCACTGCTACAGCCACCAACCTCTGCCTCTGCGAGAAATGCAACTATAAATTGACTCGCTTCGGGCCGGGGCGTGGAGCGAGGTAGGCAAGGGGAGAACTGCTGGTATTTGTCTTGGAAGATAAACAGGACAGCATACTTCCCACTCGGCAAAATCTCATGACTGAGTCATTCCTAAAACTGTTAGCAGGATATTTGCGGATACAGAGTACATGGGCGTATGTGTGTGGCGCGTGGCTTTGTTGGCCTGTGTAAGTCGTTATGTAAGGCAACACAATAAACAATTCAATGTTGTCGACACTGTTGTCATTGTTGTAACTGGTAGTTTTTCATTGTTGTGTCATCTGTGATGTTGTAGTTGTTGTTGGCAGTGCGGAGAGTTGAAATTGTAAAGTGTCGCCCGTCATCTTAGAAGATAATTTTTATGGCTCACTATTTCCGTTTTGTAACGTCTTTATTTTGTTGTTCTGCTCTCCCAAGCCTCATTGTCCTGCCCCCTCAAAATACATCATTCGTCTTTGCCCACACAAATGTCCCCTTTGATTTGTTGTTGTACGAGCAATTGTCTCGTCTCTGCAAGGATAGCGAAATGTTGTCGATAATGGCATTGTTTTGTTTGTCTATCTATCTACCCCCCTCTCTCTCTCTCTCTCCCGCCCCCTTCTCATGTCTGTCCCCCGCCAACATTATCACAATTTTGTAATATTTATGTTATTTGTAAAGAAGAAATTGTGTTCCATGACAGTTTTCGCGTTGGTGTTTGTTTTATTATGCATTGATTGTGCAAAAACAACTACACACACACAGTCACACTCACGCATACATTCACAACAATTTCAATTTATTTACGGATAGCTGTCGCTCAGTTCCGCCGTTCAGATTGCAATTATGACAACGACGTCGATAATGGCGTTAGCAATGAAACGCTCCATTGTTGGCTGAGCATGATTATGGCGGTTGCTGTTGTTGTTGCCAAACGCTTTAAGTCATCTATGCAAAATGCAAACATGTGGTTGTAAATCTTTTACAAATCATTTCCACCGAAAGTCATTAAATTGTATGTCATCGTCAATTTTGAATCTTCGACTATGGATAACAAACAAGGAAGGAAATTATGGAATTTAAAGGGGGCCTAAATCGCCAGACGAGGCAGAAAATCATAATAGAGAAGCATAGGATGAATAGCTTCGCTAAATGGATAATATTTGCTATTGGACGATTTTCTATACCCTCAGCCATATGGCTAGAGAGGGTATATATCATTTGATACGGCCAAAAACGTGCCTCATCAAAATAACGGTTGGGCCAAATCCGTTTCAGGACATTTCGAGTCGATCTAGCGATGTCCGTCCGTCCGTCCGTCTGTCTGGCTGCTGGCTGGTGCGCACGATAACTCTCGAAGGAAGTATCAGATCCGATTTCAAAGAATATAATTTACTGCACAGAATTAGAAAGGATAATTTGATTTTGCTCCAACTTTGCAAATCCTAATATTGACGTGAGTGTTAGGTCAGTTGCGAAAATGGACAATACCTCCCCCACAAAGGGTCAACATTTTAAATAATTATAGCTCTTATAAAATGTAATGTAAGTGTCCGATTGCCTTCAAATTACACACATCACCATGTTTTTATTAACCCAAGGTCAGGTGTGAAGATGGATTATGTCGGACCACTCATTCTGCTACCTCCCCCACAAAAGGGTCAACATTTTGAATACCCACGAAGCTCATATATAGAGAAATTGACATTCGATTCCATTCAGACTTGGTACATCTCAATATTTCCATTAACACAAGCTATGTTGTAAAGTTGGTAGAGATCGGAGCGTTTCATCTGGTACCTCCCTCGCTAAGGGGCAAAGTTTTAAATAACCGAAACGATCATAAAATCCAAAATAAGCATCCGGTTCTCTTCAAATCACACACATCTCAATATTTTTATTAACTCAAGGTCTAGTGTGAAGATGGGATCTATCGGTCCACTCCTTCTGGTATCTCCCCCACAAAGCGTAAAAATCTTGAATATCCATGAAGCTAATAAAACGCGAAATAAAAATCCGATTCCATTCATATTTGGTATATATCAAAATTTCCATAAACATAAGATGTGTTGTGAAGATGGACAATATTGGACCACTCCTTCTGGTCACCACTCCAAAGGGACGAAATGTATTTAAGTAATTTTTATCAGACCTATGTCAGATACGAAATGGAAAATATTGGCCCACCCCTTCGGAGCCTCTCCTATGAAAGGTCAGCAGTTTGAATTTTTATGACACAAGTCAAAATATATTTAAATAACCGAATATTGGCTGAGGGTATACAGCTGTCGGTAAAACCGACTTATTTTAACTTCTTATTTTGGAGTTTAATCAGCTATCATCCCCGACTAAAATGCTTTGCGATTAATTTGACGCCGTCGTTAGTCAATGAGTTTTGATTTTTTTAATCCGAACTGGATCTACAAATATCGCGTGGCTTATTAAGGCAAATCTTTGAAAGTTTTGTATAAAACATTGCTTAATGGTCTACGTTACTTTGAGCAAGATTCGTATTGTTATCCCGTCCATTTGGAGCGTATACGCATTATATGAACCACATGGAACGGCAATACGTATACGCACACCCTAACTCCCTTAATAATTTCTGTTGTTCAGATTTTATTCCTTTTCTTAATTCCATAGGTCGTCCATTTCATAAACTTGAAAATTGTAGAAGAAATCGCCTCTATTAATTTTAATAAAGCTAACCTGCTGGATGCCTTCTCTATGGCCAACCTAATTAAAATTGGCATTTGTTAGCCCCAAAAACATGAATTGATGCCAGCCAAGGGCCAAGAAGCAAAAGCGTAGAGAAGGGAGAGAGGGCGGTTATAAAAAAAATCTTAAAGTTAATTGGCTTTAATTTCAGCTAGAATAAATACATTCTAGGGCAAAAAGCTGGAAAAAATATTTACGTTTCGGTGCTGGTTTTTCTGGCACTTGTTTCTCTGCTTTTAGTTTGTCGGGTGTTTTATTTATTTATTATTTTTCATTTTTGTTTCTCATTTTTTTGGCTTTCATTAAGCACATTCTGACCACTGAACTAAAAAACAAAACGACCAAAGGACGTACTTTTGATAAGCATAATTTCCAGTTGGAAAGCATTTTCTTGTTTCGTTTTTTTCAGCCTTCTCCACTTTTATTACGAACCATTTCTTCCGTAACTAGATTATTTGCTTACGAAACTCTTTTTTTCATAAATAATTCCTGTTTGGTTTTTTATTTCGTTTCAGATTTGTACTGCATTTGAATACATCGACGCCCTTAAATATAAATTTCTCACAAATTGTGGCACGCAAGCTGTACTTTAATCAGACGAGTAAGTCCCGAGATGTTCTGTCACTAATCGATCGAATACAATTCTCTAATTCCCAATTAATTTTAGTAAATCTGCTGCGTTCCAGCAAAAATGCCCAACATTCGATAACCCTGACTTGTGCTCTACGTGGCCAGTATGATATTTTTGTGCAAGCCCGTCACAGGGGTTCGGTGAAAATCGAGGCCATTGGTTTGCACCCGCAGGCCAATTGGCCGCTATTGAATCGGACACATCGCATCACCATACGAAGTCAAAATCGAATACGAAAACGCCAAATGATTGTCAAATGGGACAAGAGGTGGGTAATGGATGGGTGACAATAGTAATTTCCCGGAAAAGTGTTATGTGATACGTTTTCGTCTATTCCAGCAAGTTTGATTCGCATGCAGTCCAGTATTGCCTGGTGGTCAGCACGAGAAATGCCCATAAAGATTTCTGTCAGGCAGTTGATGAGTTTTTGACATCGCCCTCGGCAAATCGTAGGAATTCACCGGGAGTTTGTCAACAACCCCTAACCATAGAATCGATATTGTCCAGGCCAGCTGAGAGGGCAAAGAAAATCGGTAGGTAAAAATCATGTCTAGATTTGTTAGCGTTTCTTCATAAGAATTTTTATACTTTCCAGATCCCCACACCACAAATGTCATTTGCACCGGCAGTCGCACTCATCAGCTGATCAGAGGCTTGGCGCCCAATTATGAATACTTTTTGGATGTGTTTGGCATTCACACCAAACGCCAGAATCTCACCTTCCACATAGCCTCATCAACCATTCATTTCAACAGAACTCATCCGGCCTTGTTGAAGGCCAACTCCCTAAGTATTGTTAAGATATCAGGTTTACATGGGGTGCAAGTGTTTAGTTTTAAGGTAAGCAGAATATCTCAGTATTTACGAGCTCGAATGCCAGGAGGAGGTCTATAAAATTAAAAAAAATGACTTCTCTTTGTTTCAAGGTCCCTCCTCTTCCCAAGCCCGATTCCCAGACGTCACTGCGCTATCTGGTCTTACCCTGTGGCGGCAGTGAAGTCGATGCCAAGATTTTGAAACAACGCAAAGTCATTGGAAATATCAGCAACATTTACCGGCCAACATACATTGATCTCTCTTCGATACGAGAAGCGGGGCGCTACATGATCCGTTTCAAGCCCAGCAATGATGATGAAGTTCTGCGCGCCAATAAAATTGGGGTAAGAGGAATATGAAATTTGAAGAAGTATTCTATGGAAGAGAACTTATAGACGATGGGGCGATGGTGGTAGAAAACTAAAATAAGGTGGTTTCCTTTTATCATATGTTCGATGTGTGAGAAAACAAGGCTAGTAGCTTAGTTCCAGATCCTGAAATAATCTTATAGTTTTATTGAAAAAAGTGCGGTTTATGGCGCTATAAAAAAATTAAAAAAGATTAGCATAACTGCCAAGTTTTTTTTGGTCCATAAGTTTATTTTAAAGGTCTGCCAATTAGCTGTGATATTTCTACCCGTACTTTCTGGGTACAGATGTTACTGCTTTCCTTATTAGATGACTAATAAGGGGGGTGGCAAAAAATCCCTAACCAAAAGTCGTTAAAACTCTTTCTCATTTCAGTATTGAATTATAGATTTTTTTAAAACTTTCAGAAATTGGTCTCTGGTAATATTAAATATTGATAATAAAAAGTTGACCGATTTTTATACATTTCCATTGATACTGCCTAGATTCGACTCCCAAAAAACATTCGTTAATTTTTTTCGTTAAATTTCTATTTCACCTTATTTTCATCTATTCACTCACAATAAGACCCATGGCCACACCACCTCTTGCAAAATACCCACTTCAAATCACATATTTTGAAAATCAATTTGTTTTGAATAGTGTCCTAAATTGAGTTTTTTGTATAATCTGCTTTGACAAACCATGAAACCGTATCAAAATAATTGTTTCTCTTTTTAGCATTCTAAAATTAATTATCGTGATTTTTTGTATTTTTCCTCTTCTTTTTTGTAGCTGGCCGTAACAACCAATCGCGTTTTTAGTCAACTGCCCGAATTGCCCGAAAACATAACCGTTTTTGAGGTACGAACAAAATGTCACTCCACCAAAATTGCCTGGTACAGTTCGCCAGAAATTCGAACACTCAGGTGAGCAAACAACAGAATTTTCGTTTAATTCAGTTTTTCTTGTTTTTGCTTTGGTTGTGTTTTGTTTTGCTTTGTTTTGGGAACGACACAGTTTTTACAACAATCCAAACAAAATCAACGTTAAATCAAATAAACAAATATTGATTCTTGTTGTTGTTTTTTGTTGTTGTTTTTTTGTTGTTGCTATTATTTATTGTTTCATTATTAAAAACTGTGGACAACAACCTGCTGACCCCATTGGAACTTGTTCTCGATGCTGTTGCGTGGCATACGACCTGTACACACACACGCTCACACTCACACCCACTCACACAATGAAAATATGGAATTTATGAAAATTGGATGATGTCCTCTCCACTTCCATTCGAATACTCTTCTCCCCGCAACCGCTAAACAATGTTGGGATTCTGGCTGGCCGTTGTGTTACATCGACATTCAACTGCGTACATGTGTGTGTGTCTATATGTGTGCATTGGGCCTTTATAATGCAATACATCACGGTGGTGGTGGTGCTGTTGGTGCATTTCCCGATATTGCGGTGTGTTTTGGGCCGATTCACTGGAGCAGTTACTGCATAATTGTGTTCAATTTGCCGCAACGCAATCGCAGCTCCATCGATTATACAAATTATTGCATGGATTTTGGCAAGCGTGTAGTTCAGCATCCGCAGTTTCATTCAATAAAATGCCCCAAAAAAGCTAAAAAGTGAGTATATAAATATCCGAAGATTCTCTAGATTAACGCAAACACACACACATACAATTGTAATCGTATATTTGCCAAAAAAAATGTGGGGGACAAAAAGTAAATGTCTGGCCATAGACAAGGCACAAATAGATTTTATTGACAATAATAAAATAAATAATAAGTTTTTTTTTCTGGGTACTTTTCCAGTAATATTTACTCAGTACACCCTTTCGAGAGAGAGAAAGATACATTTTATACAATTTTATCAAAATATTTAAAACTAAAAAATAAAGAGAGAGAGGGAGAGAAAGGTACATTTTAGATATAGATCCCATATATAGGGTGAGAAAAAAAAACTGCAACAAAGTCAACGCCATTTTTTTAATTGTATTGAATTAAAGCAAAAAAAATGTCGGAAATAGCATCAAATTTTAGAATAAGTTTAGATTTGTTCGAATTGGTCAACTTTGGCACGAATTATGACCTTCAAACGGCCAAAGAAACCCGAATGTTGCTCTGCGGTATTTCGCCCACTTTGGTATTTTTTAGTGCCAACCTTGCTTTCCAAAATACTCCAGACACAATAGTCCAATGGATTGGTATCCGGAGATTTTGGTGGCCATTGTGCGCTGGATAATATTCGGCATTTATTCTGATGCTACGGTCGATTAATACGAGCGACCATTGGCTGTTAGGGCGGCCCACACCATTACCACCGGCGCTTGAGTTCTTGTGGCCAACCGAAGGTGCACATTTTCAGCTGACCTCTGAACCTCTGACCTCCGCTGATGTTGCTGTTTTCTTCCGTCCATTTCCTTGACGTTGGGCTACGCTACCAGTATCACGGTAACGATGGCAAAAGGTTTATTCACATTTATATCCTGGAGTGCCCTAATGATAGACACTTGTGGTTTTCCAGCCAAATATAAAGAAATCACGCTTAAATTCCATCACGAATAACTTTTTCTGGAAAATTCTCACCAAAATGCTTTTGTACCCTTGTAAACAATATAATGAGCTGTCACTGGAATAATTTTAAGAGCCGTCAGACGAGTGGCTTAGAAATGGCAGCAGTCTGAAGTTGGCTGCAGTTTTTTCATCTCACCCTGTATTGCAATGTTGAAGTCTACCACATGGTCGACACCTGATGTGTGTTTGTTATTTGTACAGTTTACCCGCCAATTATTAACAAAAAACATTAAAAATTCTTTCTTTTTTTTTGCTTCATTTTTCAATTCGCAGCCCACCACTTTTGGAAACCGACACCATTTTCAATCTAACACCCGGTGAATCCTATCTAATCTATGTGACGGCCAATCTGAGCGAAGGCAAGCCGCTACCCTATCAATCTCTAAAAGTGAAAATGCATCACCAGTGCCCCGAGGAAGTGCTGGGCGCCGAATCAAGAGATCAATCGACCTACTATTTAAATTAAGTTTTAAACTATAAGAAAGCCAACACAAAAAGAATTCCAAAAAAGAAAGAAAACAAAAAAAAAAACAACAAACAAAACAAGCTATGATTAACTCTAAACTAAATTACAGTAGCAAGGAAAGAAAACGTCATTGCCATTGCCATTTCCTAATCAAAAAAGAAACACACAACAAAACAGAAAAAAAGAAAAACAAACACCATATTTGATAAATAAGCAACGAAAAATCAAATGAATATTTTTACAACAACTAATTTTAAATTAAATGTTTTAGTTGTAGGAGATTTGTTTTTGTAATGTTTTAGAATATATATGGAAAACAAGTAGCTTTTAATTTTGCAGCAATAAGTTATGTTAAGAGGGAGAAAAAATGAAAAACGAAAAAGAAAGCAAAAAAATTAAATATTATTTGGCTTTAAGATTTGCAGGTCTACCTAAAATCGAGCATAGGAAGTCTAAGTTTTTCACCAAGAAAGTTGAACACAAGGGAAATCCAATGAGGTCTCACGAAGGCAAATTCAGGCCTGAGCTTTCTCTTGATGTCAAAAGTACTTCTGTGGAGCCTTAATCAAAAAGGGCAAAAACAAAAAATATTTCACAAATTATAAATTTCAAAATTGAAAATTATGTTCCGGTCAAAATATAAATATGTTATATAAAAAACTGCATGGGGCCGTACGGACTCCACCTAGTAAGGAAGTTGACATTTATTGTATGCTGCCTCGAATTTTAGTTAGACCTGTCACACAGCAGACTTCAATTTTAATTTTTGTTTGAGATTGCAATGCCATTCATGTTTGTACATTTTTTATTTCGCCCGAACCTATATATATTTGTAAATATAAGTGTAGTTCGATACGATGAATTGCTCAGGTTCAATATTACAAAATGGGAGTGATAAAAACTGGAGAGAATACCTAAGAAATTTCTCCAACCCAACAATTTTCCATTAGCCAATTGGATCATTTATAAGAAATTGGGTAGAACTGTGTATCAATGGGTGTTGCATATTCGAATAGACTCACCATTAAAAAATTTGCCTTATTGTCTTCCATTTGCGTATAAATTTTGTATTTTCATTTATTTTTTTTTCTCACTGAATTTATTCTTCCCCTTTTCATCCTCCAGTTTTAATCACTTCCATCATGTTTGGAAAATTTACCATGGGCAATTTATTATTTTTCTTATGTAAATTATTATTATTTTTTAAATAGCTTTTATCTTCAGTCTTTTGTTTTCTACACTCGCATATTATATAAGTATTGATGTGGTTGTTGTTAAAACCACAACAACAACAACAAAAACTATGAAAAAATAAAATTAAAAAAGAGAAAAACCAACTATTCTACCTATTTACCTACCTACCGTAATTTCAATAAATGAAGATGAAGCAGAGGAGGAGCAGAGAAATTGCTACATAACTTTAACAATAAAGTAAATATTTATAATTAATATGAAATAAAATAAAAAACGAAACAAAACAAAACAACAAATAAAATATGACAATAAACATGCAGCTTCATTCTCTTCTTTTTTTCTTTTTTTCCCACAAAGGGATATATTTGAAAAATAATTAATTAACTACAACTAACTATGTACTAATGGCTAAAATGAATAATGAAACACACATACATTGAAAATCAAATAAATTGAATACAACAACAACAAAAAATATACACTTACATACCACACATATAGAACAACAACATTTATATGAATCAAACTTATTTAAGATCGGAAATTATGGAATTTATCATTGATATTTTATACGAAGTTAGGAGCGATTTTTACAGATTTCAAAGGAGGCTTAAACTTTCTCAAGGATGAGATAAGATATAGCGTTTTTCGTTTGGTTTCAACTAATGCTAGCAATTTGTATTGGATTTGTCACAGTCATTGGCAGGATATAAAAGCCATATTGGGTTTGGGGTGATTCAAATCGAGTAATTCATATATCGGGGCTATGATTGCATTAGATAAAATATAAAGTCTATGGACCCCAAGAAGTACTGACCGCGTCAAGACTATTTAGTGTGAAACTTCAAATGATTATCACCCAACCTTGGACTACACGGAAAGTCAATGTACATTTGGCTCGCACACATACATAGTTTATTTTAGGAACATGGATTTTCAACCAAGACCAAATTATAACACGATTGGTCAAGTGTTCCAATTGCCTGTTCTGGTCTAGTCTTATAATACAGCAGAACATGGGTTCGGGATCAACACAAATTATAATGGCCTGTATAATTCAACTTTGCTGGCCTGTCCATTTTTCAGGCTTTGAAACGATATGGGCGTCAAGCAACGGGTTCAAAAATTTGATGGGGTACTCGGATGACATTTACAACATCACCCATTGGAAATTGTGACGTAACTCCCAAAGCACCCTTCACAGCACCCGGTCGCTCACTCCAAAAGAGACAATTTACCATTGCTGAGGCAATATAAAAAAACTGCAAAAAAGTCAAATGCCATAATTTTTACATTTTTTAAAAAAAAATTATTGTATGAAAGCAAAAAATGTCGGAAATAGCATCAATTTTGAGTATAAGTTTAGATTTTTTCGAATTGGTCACCTTTGGCACGAATTATGGCTTTCAACCGCCCAATGAAAATGTCACACGCTGCCCGAATGTTGCTATATGGCATTTTGGCCCACTCCCGGCGAAGCGCTTGGTATTTGTCAGTGCCAACCTTGCTTTCCAAAATGCTCCAGACACTATAGTCCAACGGATTGGTTTCCGAGATTTTGGTGGCCATTGTGCGCTGGAAATGAAGAGAGGAACCTCATTTTGTCACCATTCTTAGGTGGCGCGTGCTGAGTGCGATGGTGCTGAGTCCTGTTGGAATGTCCAAGGTCTGCGGCCAAAATGTTTGCGTGACCAAGGCTTTAATACACCCTTCAGAATATTTTCGCGATAATATTCGTCATTCTTTTTGATTAATACGAGCGGAGAGCGACCATCGGCTGTTATGGCGGCCCACAGCATCACCATGGTCCGCACTTGAGTTCTCGTAGCCAACCACCAGCCGAAGGTGCACATTTTCAGCTAACCTCTTTGGCAAGCATTTTCTTTGTTTACAAACTGCTGGACAACGACATCGAATGTTTTCTCATTGGAGAAAACCAAATTCGGCAGTTCACCACTTTCGGCCAAGTGAAGCAACTCTTTAGCTCTTTTGAGTCTATTTTCTTTCTGTTGCGGTGTAAGTTCTTGCACTTTTTGGAATTTCAATGGCTTTACCCCGGAATTTCAATGGCTTTGCCAAATGGAATATTGTGACATGTTCAGTTCACGAGCCATTTTTCGGGTTTCGATCAAGTCGCTTCTTTACTTCCGTCCACTTCCTTGACGTCGGGCTATGCTACCAGTATGACGGTAACGGTTAATTTACATTTAAATGCTGGAGTGCTCTAACGATAGTCACTTGTGGTTTCCCGGCCAAATACAGAGAAATCACATTATCACGCTTGAATTCCATCACGAATAACTTTTTTTCTGGAAAAAACGGAATACAAACCGTATCACATTTTTCCATGTACACAGTGCACTGAAATTTTGTTAATTCGGGGAAAATATTCAAAATCAAGGCTAAAACTTAATATTTTTATAGTTTTTAAAAAGGTCGATACTTTAATATGTCCCCTTTTCGAAGGTTCTAAAGTGATTCAGTCATTGCCTACAATATACTCATTTGTTGAAAGTTGTGTTCTGACTAGGGTAGGGCAGTGAAAGCTTATCGTGGTTGTTCACAAGTTTCACTGCTGAGAAGGTAATTTATTATCTGCCTTTTCTAAAATTGGTACATCATCATTTAGGAACATCATGATTTGCCTGAATGCTGATACAACTAAATTTCTGCTCCTAGAAAATATAAATTAATTTCTTACTTGAAACATTACTTAATTCCAAACCAAGTTTACTCCGAAAAATATTAGCCGAGGTCTTCATCGACTTTGTATACATTCATATATATAAACAAAGGTAATACCGTATTTATAACCCACTGTCCAATTTAGATAGTAATCTACGAAATGTACTATAAAAACATTACAACCCAAAAAGAACACTATTATTACTATTATTATTATTATTATTATTGTATACAAAAGACATGCCATATACTAAAAAACTATATAAAATATAAAAATTATAAAAATTCAATTCATTATGGAAAACAATAAAAACGACTGTAATGAAAATAAATCGTAAGCAGGGGCTTAGTTCTTGTGCCATGGAAAAGGGAAATTAAAAGATTTATAAAAGAAATAAATGTGAAATAAATAAAAAAAAAGATTATTAAGAAAATATTATTAATTTCTTATTTTCATAGAACAAAAAAAAAGGGCCCTTCATCTTGTCATTTACAAATTATTCATCTACCTACCTATCAATCCTTGTGGTCTCCCACCTCTTCTAATTCGAGGCGATCACTTTAAATTCTTCCCCTCCAAATTATCTGTAACCGCACTTGAAATATTTTACACCTTAATGGATTTTCAGCAATTATTCGCCCATTTATCAACTGCAACAGCCGACAGATACAATTTAAACAAATTAAATAGAACCAGCTCTATGTTGTAGTCGCGGTCAAACACCTAACCACTGTGGAGGCGACGAGAACTCGAAACTGTTGTTGATTAATGAGGAATGAATTTGTCTCGTTTGTTGCAGCAAACAAATTCGAATGTGGAAAACTTTGACAAATGGTTTCATTCCACACACACTCGGACACACACACAAACATGTTCGAACACCCATACATATCACCCTCACAAAACAACAACACAAAAAGGATCAAATGTGCAACATCACCGTATAAACACTACTTTAACACACAGGAACACACACACCCACACAAATGGGTTCTCTTTTTTGCAAAGAGTAAATTCCCATAATGTCCTTTATTCGAAACGGCAGTTTGAAAAAGTCAAATGATATTAAAAATAAAACCCGTTATACCTTGTTCTTGCTTTGCCGCTCACCGATGTCGCTCGGCGTTGAAATGATTTTAATTGTGATGGCCGTACCAAACACAACAGCCGACAACAACCGACACATCGACCGGCCAGACAGTACAACTGAAAGTCGCAACGAACTAAACACAACGCCCTTTATATGGATACGTATTGGGGTAGGCATTTGTGTTTTTTTTTTTTTTTTTTTTTTTTGGGAAATATTTTAAACAAAATGCATACGAGATGTGGGGAGGGAAATTATTATTCGGCATATAATAGGATAGACGAAAGCCCAACTGGACAACACATAAAATAGCTTGCCGGAAAAGGACTGATATTGGAAGGGAAGGAACATCGGCGTCTTCTAAGTTTATGCCTTTTAAGAAGGGGACAATATCCCATCTTAGCACGGCTTTTGTAAACATTCCAAAGGGGGTTTCTTCTTAACATCGAATTTCAGAACTCAAAGGAATGTCTTTAAATCCATGTTTAAAATGTCGTATAAAACGTGATGATATGAGGACAAACATAAAAATGCATGGAATTTAAATATAGGTCTCAGAATATGCCAAAAGTGACTCGCGTTATGATTATTCAAACCGTGGACCCTTTATTGGGGTAGTTCTGCAGAAAGAAAGTCGAACAATTATTATGATAGCAATTGTTAATCAAAATGCAAAACTTTTATGGGAGATACGAGAAGGTGTGGCACGATAAATTCCATATTAACATCGGATCTCTTGCTGTGGGAATTATTTAAATATACCTAGTTAGACTTGTTTCCCAAGTTATAAGAGATATATGTATTGAATATTGTCACCCTTTGTGGGGAAGGCACCAAAAGGGGTGTACCAATACCTGTGTCATCTTCACTCCAGATCTTGTGTTAATAAAAATATTGGAATGTGTGAATTTTGAAGAGAATCGAGTGCATATTTCTGTCGATGTTAGATTCATTATTATTCAAAATTTTGACTCGTTCTGGGGGAAGTTCCAGAAGAGGTAGATATATCCCATCTCCACATCTGATATTGAATTTATAAAAATATAGCCACGTAATGAGTTAAAAAAACTGGATTCTTATTTCGCGTTTTATGAGCTTCATGCATATTCAAAATTTTGACCAATTGTGGAGAAGGAGTGGTTCGAAAGATTTCGTCGAAGATAAACATTTTCCCAATCTAATTTTAAGGTCACTAAAGACACGAAATCTTTTTATGTTTAAAAACAATAATTCACTCGTAGTAAAAATATTTTGTTGCACTTGTCTTAAGTTTCGTAGTGAAAAAAAGGCAACACTTTCCACATTTCCCTCGTAATTTGAGCCCTGCAAATGACATTTGTTTTTTGTTTGCGTTGTTTTTTTTCGGAAAATCCTTCGTGATAATTTGTTGTTGCGCATCATCCCAACATTTTAAATTAACAATTTCGTGTTGGGAAAAATTAGTTTATTTTCTAATTTTGTAACAAAAACTGCTGCACAAAAACGGGAGTTTTTGTTGCCTAAAAATAAGCGGCTGTTTTTGCAATCATCAAATAATAGACAATGAGTTCAATCGACAAACATAACGTCAGAGACATGCATACGTACGCACACTCCCATACACACACACATGCACACACACACACCCATATGGCTTTCGGGTAATCGACATAATAATTAAGCCTTCCTAATGCCTAATAAGCTAATTAAAGCCGAATTGCCGTTTTAGCTGCAGCAATTAAACAGTGAAATGTGTCAGCGCCTGTAATTATGCTATGAATAGTTGGCAAATGACTCCATGACTCGATTTCCATTCCGTGGAACGCCGAGTGAAATATTTCGCTGGAAATGTAATACGCAAATCGCATTATTCTGGCAAATATTCAATTATCCATGCGCCATAACATGTGCAGCGAGTCGTGGCGAGAGATAAGCCGTAGCAGTAAAATTCCGCTCACTCGCCCCTTCAGGGGACCCCTTCACATCAGTGTCAAATGTCCAATAAATCATTCGTAAACAGATCAAAAACAATTACTGACATGATTGTTATGCCCACTTCTATGACGTCCGAAAAAAAAGCTCCAAGGGAAATCGACGTGAAAAACATTAAACGCTGATAAGACTTTGGCTAAACCCACAGAACTGAATTTGCCACTGAGCAAACAGAATAATTTGCCAATACTTGGAATAGCTAAAAATTGGGGGTAATTAATGTTGGTATTGGGGAAAAAATTTTAAATAAATTAAGAGACCCTTCTCGTGGCCAAGTTTTCAATTTTCTTTCTTTCTTTCAATGTGTGTGTGTGAAAAATTTACCCCCATCGTCACATTGTCGTCTCTGAAATTGATAAAGGATATTTTATCGTTAATAAATTAATTCTTCTTATTTCCAACCAGCCACATTTTTAATTGTCTAATGATAGCTCCGCGCGCTCACACACACACACATACACTCACACCGAGACACTTTCAGCTGCATAATTGACTAAACATTTCGGAAATGACGCATTATCGCCACAGATACCAATCATCATCGAACTGATAACATGATAAAGACCTCCTCTGGCGAAACGATGACAAGCCGATTGGATGGCTGCCAAAGCCAACAGGTGAATGGAAGTGTAGCCTCCTCGGTGCACAGAACTCGTTGGATTCAGTGCACAAGTGGCAGCAGTTTGATAAACATCGACGACAAACGGTAGGTAATAACAATCGATCTACTCCAGCAAACGCTCACAATGTGACGGTTTATTGGGACATAGAACACATTGTCTCTCTGTCAATTGGTGCCTACTTTTAGGAATGAGAATAATTCCAATGTAAAGCATATGTTACATATGTTTCGCCAGAACAAGTGTAACCACTTGAAAACACCAAAACGATAAGTGCGACTCTACTGAAAGCACATCACAAAGGAGAAAATATTGAAGTTCCGTAAAGAAATTTGTTCCAAGAATCATCAACGAAGTTTTCTCAGCAAAATTATAAAACATATGTTCAAAGTTCAACCATGGGGAAAACGTCGCACTTCGGAATATAACAAACATCGATCAAAACATGACACGCTTATACACTTTCGATTATATATATACAAAATTCCCACGCAAGCCATGGTTTGCTTAGGAAGTTGGAATTTGTAGAAGAGAGAGAGAGAGAGAAGGGGAAAAAACATTATCCTCCTTAAATATTTTTAATCAGATAACCAAAATCGTCCTTTACAGTGGGCACCTTTGTTGCCAATCGATATTTTGTTACCATGAAAATTCATCTTCTTGCAGAATTTACCGACAACAACAATTAGGAGAAAATTCAACTCACATTGATGGCCTTTTCCGGCATCTACTTAACGGAAATCCAGAAGGTACTGCGCAACACAACTGCATCTGACGACAATGAAAGCCATTTTCACAACAGTTCTGGCATTTTCACGCAGGAGGGGGACGCAGCCAACAACACCAGCACCAATGGGGGCGATAGCAGTGCCGAGAATAGCGACCAGGTGGATCACAACAGCAACGAGTACACCCAAGCCCAATATCCCGGTATATTGGACAGCGACCTGACTTCATTGACGAGTGGCCAGAAGAAGTTCTTCATTGCCACCGTGTGCATCCTGTGCACCATATCCATCGTTGGCAATGTCAGCACCCTGGTGGTTAACTTTCGGCGGAAAATTAGGCCATTCTTTCGTGCCTGTCTGATATCGTTGGCGCTGAGTGACTTGATGAACACGGTCTTCCTAAGCACAGCCTATTTGTCACAGTTCATGGTGGAGTACGTTCAGATTTGGGTAAGTCGATGGTTGCATGCCACATCAAATGCAAGGCATGCAGTGGAGCAAGGAGTCGGACTTTTAATTGTTTTCCATTGCAGAGTTTGGGCTCACTGATGTGCAGCTTCGTGCCCTTTGCCACAACGGTGGCGATTCTAGCCAGCAGCATGACTCTGGTGGGCATAGCTGTGGACCGCTACTATGCGGTTATGCGAGCGGTAATTGGCTTCTGGCAGCCCAGTGCCATATCGTGTATTGTCGGCATGGTCTGCATTTGGCTGGCGTCGATTGGCATCGCCTGTCCGGTGTTCAACATCTACGACATAATGCCGGTGTACATTTTAACGGAGGAGCACCCGGCTGGTGATGCGAATCGTCATTTGGCGAGTCCAGGTGTCACAAACAATGCTGTAACAACAACTAAAACACCCTGGGAAGAGGAGGCCTCGCAGGAGAATCTCTCGTATACACTGGTGCGGGAACAGAGACTTGTCGACATGTGTGTCTCGGACCAGGTATGTTTGTGGACACAGTATGAACGCTAATGCGTTATCCTCCTTCCCCTCCCCCTCTTCTCGTTGCAGGATAACGTTACGCTGTACTATGCAATTGTCTTTGTCATCATCTTCATACCCTGCATCGGAGCATTCTTTTGGTTTAATACGATTATTGCTCGCAAGTTATGGAAACGTCGTCACAGTGTCACCATCACCAAGAATATGTCGAAGCGTTCCAAATTGAAAATCAAAAGGGCGAAACAGCTACAACAGCAACAACGCATGAAATTACAGATTTCACAACAGGCGGCAGCATCTGCCAATTCCGGCAACAGTTCCCAGCCGCAGTACCAAAGCTGTAGTTGTAGACTTGGCCACAGTTCCAGCACCATGCCAAGTAGCTTAACGGCTGCCATGGGAGGCACAAAGACTCCAGGTAAAGCTCCTGAAGCTGCTCAACCCCCAACCAACATCAGTGGCACACGCAACTCCCGAGAAGCCCGACATTTGAGGATGTTCACCATTATCCTGTTGATGATGGCGGTGTTTGTTTTCCTACGTCTGCCCGCCTGGATCTTCCTCCTGATGCGCATGTATGGCTCCTATGGCAAGCCCAGGGATTGGATAATCTATTTTGTATTTGGTGTTCTGAACTTGGCCAGTTCGGTGCTGAATCCTTTGTTCTATACCTTCCTCACGGAGACCATACAATATGTCTTGCGTTTGAAGGCAAAGACCTCAGCTTTGCTGTGCACAGATTGTTCGTGGCTGGGCGGTTTTTGGTGTTGTCACAGCAATGGAAGGGCAACCAGTGATGCTGAATGTGCAACGGTATCCGATGCCGAAGAACCACACTTTGCCCTGAGTTGTTGCGAGAACTTTTGCGGTTGTTCGGGTTTCCTACGCGCCACCTGGCAATGCCAACAGCCGCAGCAGTTAAAGAGGACGCATCAGCCGCAACAAAAATCCCCCTCCTTACAAATGGCGAATGAAACGAGTGGCAACAAGCAGGACAATACCCAGAATGATCCGGAGGTCATTTTCAGCAACGACAAGGATGAGGGTGTTGATTGCAGCGAAGAGTTGGATGAGGATGACAATTGTGATTTCAATGGTTACAATCATCGGATCTATACAATATATCCGGCATCATTGGTCTCCACCTCATCGCAGTAGGAGAAGGGAAGGGATGCAGGACCACATCTGAAATTATGAAATGGAAATATTCTAATGGCAGTTCTTTGCAAAATACAATCCTTAAAAAATACAACTAAATGAAGCAAACGAAATTTTTGGGAAATAACACCGGAGGTATTAATTTATTAAATGTCAATGATAGAGAATTTCAAGGTGGGTTACTTTAGAGACATATAAGGCTTGGTATCGTTTTTAGTAGAGGGATACCGAGTCACTGTCAGAGTCACATTTGAAGTAAAAGCCATTCATGGCCTTTATTGTTTTAACAGGAATGACTTCATTGTTGGAATGACGGAATTCCGGTTAACCGAATAAATGACGAGCCATAGGGTCCAATTCAAATGTTACAGTGGCTCTTCTTCATTCGTTTTCCCAAATTTTGACAAACTTGACATCTTGATTATGGATCTCCACCCATAAATGTTTGAAGCTAGGACAATTGCAGGCACTATTTCTAGTAAAAATAATTACGAATTTCCAGAAAAGAGTGCGAAGGTTGACATGTTGTTTATACAGGGTGAGATAAAAAAACTGCAAAAAAAGTCAAACGCCATAATTTTTTTTTAATTTTTTTTTTTTTTTTTTTTTTTTTGAATGAAAAAGAAAAAATGTCGGAAATAGCATAGACTAAGTTCAGATTTGTTCGAATTGGTCACCTTTGACACACTCTGCCCGAATGTTGCTCTGCGGTTCTGGTGGCCAACCGAAGGTGCACATTTTCAGCTGACCTCTTTGGCAAGTAAACACGATCATTTTATTTGTTTACAAACTGCTGGACAACGAATGTTTTCTCACCGGAGAAAACCAAATTCGGCAGTTCACCACTTTCGGCCAAGTGAAGAAACTCTTTAGCTCTTTTGAGTCTATTTTTTTCTGTTGCGATGTAAGTTCTTGCACTTTTTGGAATTTCAATGATCTCGGAGTAAGCTCATTTTTCAGTATTTGCGAACGGAATATTGCGATATTTTCAGCTCACGAGCCATTTTTCGACCACTGCGACGCGGGTTTCGATCAAGTCGCTTCTTTACTTTTCGAACCATTTCTGCAGATGTTGCTGTTTTCTTCCGTCCACTCCCTTAATGTCGGGCTACGCTACCAGTATCACGGTAACGAGCGATGGTACGAGACACAAAAGATTTATTCACATTTAAATGCTGGAGTGCTCTAACGATAGCCACTTTTGGTTTTCCAGCCAAATGTAAAGAAATCACGCTTGAATTCCATCACGAATAACTTTTTTTCTAGGAAATTCTCATCAAAATGCTTTTGTACGCTTGTAAATAATATAATGAGCTATCCCTGGAATAATTTTAACAGCTTAGAAATGACAGCAGTCTGAAGTTGGTTGCATTTTTTTCATCTCAACCTGTATTTCTTATGGCTTTCATTCTACATAGGCATATTTCGAGGTGGGATGACGAAATTTGCATAAATTTCCCCACCCTTTTAGGGGACACACATCCAACAAGAAATTTTCCATCCGTGTCGATTGGTAACATGTTTTTTTTTTTTTGTAATTATCAATAAACAATTAACTTAACAACATTTGCACTCAACTTAACAACGTTTACGTCACAACGCTGTCTGGCATGCTAGTCTGGCTGTTGGGCTCTGGCTCTCAGACAAAAGTAATGTTTTATTAATTATACAATCAATCATTGATATCTCATAAATATGAGCAGAAATCATTAAATGTGTGATTAACTTTTATCAAATCGATTTTATTTCCATTATAATTTAATCAATATTCAATGATTATCACCGACATCGACACCGCCAGCACCAGCACCACCCAAACATCCCCTCTAGCAATTGCAGAGCTAGCCGCCAATGGAAAGTAGAGGAAAAAACCTATCAGGATTTTATTGCTACAATATCACAGATAAGTTGGACAAAAGAAAGCACAGCTCCAAATATGCAAACTCAGCAGAGCAGAGACAAACTTTAATAAACAATTTTATGGCAATCAAGCGTTGTAACAAGGGGGGGGGGGGTTGGGGGTCATATTTGGTTTCAACTTTTATTATTGTTTTGCGATTTTCTTTGTTGCTGTCATACCAGAACTTGCAAATAAAGTGGACTTGTTTCTGCTGCCTTCCCATTTGGCTTCAATGTTAAGCGTTTTTACACTGAGAATAAAAGTAGGCAGTTTATACTGATTTGTGGCCACCAAAATTTGTGTTGCAGTTCATGCAAGAAGCATGATATTCCTGGATTTAAAACTTAATTAAGGAGTTTTCCATAGACCTATCACTCACATAACTTGTATTATTTAATTTCTAATTTTCATTAATATTCTTGACAGGGTACATAAAATTTCAAAACTGTCTCACTTGTGAGGGGGGGTTTTGTTTGTGTCTCGTTACATTTTTGAACTTCTACACTCAGTCTCGCACTGTGTATTTCTGTTGCTTATTTTCTAGTTTTTTTTCTGTCTGTCTTCCATTCCAAGTTGTAAATTCATATTTTATTATCTTAGATCAACAGCAGCAACAGCATCTCCAAATGGAATGAAGAATGGTGTTCATTTTTGTTTTTCTAAATCTGCTGTGGAAAATATATGACAAATCTATAGCATATTTTTCGGCATACACTTAACAACTGTAAAAGTAAGCAATTCACACACACACGTACACAAACAGACACATTTGAATTTGATATTTTCTGTGTGGTTTTTATCTGCTCCAATCGAAGAAGTATCTGCAAGCGTACGAATGAAAATGTTTCTCTCCATCGTCAGTGTATGTGTGTGTGTAAATGTGGACACTTTTTTACAATACACTTGTCAGTAAATATTGTTGTTCACAATATCTGGTTACTTCCATAAGGCAAGTGGAACGTCTCGCACACGCACAAACGAACACACACATGTGGTGGGCACTGCGAGTGCATATTTTACAGCTATTGTCAGAGAAACGAAACAAAACATTTGAATTGCTGACAAATTGTTTGTGTATGTGTGTGTGTCGTCTGTGTTTATTACAGCTGCCTTCTGCAAGTCGAATTTATTTGCAAAAGTTATAAATGCAGTTATCTTAAATAAATATTTGAATAGCATGGTTTCGTTTTTTTTACTCTACAATGTGGTGGCTAAAGTTGAGATAAATGTTGGAAGCCATGGGAGAACAAAGAGTCGAATTATCTTAAAAACAAGTTAAAAAGTATCAGTCGGTTGCTGACCGATGTATAATCTCAGCCAATGTTCTATTGTTTAAATATATTTTGCCTTCGGTTATAATTATTCAAATTTTTGACACTCTATGGAGTAGGTTCCGATGAAATGAACAATATTGCCATTTCGTATCGGATCTAAATAAATATAATAATGGGCAAAATTACAAGTAAATCGATCATTTAAATCCAATTTTATGCGAAATCATAAATTCAATATTCATATCAGGTTTCTAGTTGAAAGAAATATTCAGATATAGCAAGTTGGCTTGTTTTGAAAATTGTGACTGTGGGTGAGGTACCAGAAGGGGTTCGCATATATATATATCATCTTCGCAACATATCTTGGGTTAGCAAAAATATTTGTATGTGTGAAATGTGAGAGTTGGATGCTTATTTCGTTTGTTTTGAGAGTTTGTTTTTCAAAATCTTGAATCCCATATGGGGAAGGTACCAGAAGAAATGGTCCAATTGCTACCATCTTGTGTTGATGGAAAAATTGAGATGTACCATGTCTGGAATGGAATCGGATGATAATTTCCTGTTTTATGAGCTTCATGGATATTCGAAATTTTGACCCTTTGTGGGGGAGGTACCAGAAAGAATGGATCGATCTATATCATCCTTATAACAGTTCTTGTGCTGATGGAAATAATAAGATGTGCCAAGTCTGAATGAATGGATTTCGTGTTGCATCACATTTTATAAGAGTTATAATTATTCAAAATTTTGACCTAGCACTGATACAAGTACTAGGATTTGCAAAGTTGGAGCAACATCGGATGATCCTTTCTCTTTCTGTGTAGCATTTTTTTTTTTTTTAATTTCCTCCCCAGAAGGAGTGGACCGATATTGCCCATCTCCGAACTCGATCTAATTTTGATACTAATATTTCGATATACCAAGTTTAGACCAAATCCGCTACTCCCTTCGAGAATTATCTTGAGCACCAGCAGCCAGACAGGGGAGGTACCAGAAGGAGTAGACCGATATTGCCCATCTCTGAACTCGATTTGGTCCAAAGGGACCTAGCGTCTAAAATCGTAGACCCTTTCAGAGGCAAGTATGCACTCTGACATTTTGAACAAATTTTTATTTTGTAAAATAGATTTTGAGCTAATTTTGTTTGAAAAAAAAGTAAAAATTCGACACAGGAAATTCATTTTAAATTCACTTAGGAGTTTCTCTTTCATCATCTCACCCATTTTCGCAAAAGATATGTCAAAAAACAACTTTCCAATGAATGTTCCAGTAAAACATCAACAAAAAAGTTCGGAATACAGGTATTTGTAAATATTCACCCCCTATCAAATACAAATATTACATATTTTCTTGTGTGTTTCTTTGTCTATCCCACCAAACGGTCATTACAATTTCAATTCACACTCTTGCACTCTCACTTTCTCTCTCTTTAGCCACCTCTCTGTAAAGAGCTCATCTGTCTTGGCCCAACTAACAGGCTAAGCTTCATTCAAGCTCAATTTATGACAAGTGTTGAATTATCAAGCTTTCACCTCACCACACAACTGAGGTGAGTTTGAACCAGATGTGCATTCTGCTGTTTACATGGTCGGGTCTCTCGAACACCGACGATCACGATCAGTTGTGTGCGGTTACTCTGAGGCGGACGTTGTGAGGAAACGGAAAACGGTGAACAGTGCTAAAGAAGCGAAAACAAAGTGTAAACATAGCGGTAAAGTGAAAATTGAGGTCTTGATACGCTCGTTCGTTGCTTGTCAGCCTGCCTGTCTGCCTGTTCGTCATATGTGAAAACAAAACGAAAATATGTTGAAACGAAAATACGAAGAGTGCACAAAGGCTGCTCCTGCTTCTCTGATGGTGCTGTCGGGCAAGCAAATATGAATTTTGGTTTAATAAATATTTGGATTGAAGAAAAGAGCCACCACAACACATAATAAAAGTGAATTAAGCCACACAACAACAACAACAAAAAGAAACACACAAAATCAAAGCAAATATTAAAACATAAATGTATGCAAAGCAAAGTGCGATAAAGTGATTTAAAGAAGAAGCTACAGATTTGCCTGCGGACATCGAACAACAAAAAAAAATTAAATTAACTAAAGAAAAAATACAACACACACACGCACGCACACACGGACGGACGGACGAAATCGCTTGGTCAGGCAGACGACCAGTTGCTGGGTTTTTCGATGTAGTTATTTTTCTAAATAAATACAAGAGATTATAAAAGTGCAACAGCATCAGCAGACATTCCGGCGCAGCAGACGACCCGAAGAGGAGGTAAACAACAAATTATATCTCTATATTCGGTTTAAATAATCGTAATGTAAATAGTGAAATTTATTATAAACTGTATACATGTGTAACAAATATACATACATATATGTATGAACATGTTAGTGCCTGAAGACTCTTGGAGATCACCCCCCGACCCCTGTATACGGCAAAACAACCACACATTTTCTTGCATTCACATGGCAAAACATACTCTCCTCTCAAACACGACAAGTGATTGTAGTTTTCACTCTTGTTTTAGCTTTTGGATTTGGGCGCCAACAACAACCGCTTTCAAATAAAAGTTCTAGCAACTGTGGAACAAAAAAACACCATAGGTACCAAGAGTTTACAGACATATTACAATGGTGTTCATTGTTGTTGTCGTTGCCGTTTCTTTATTCAAACTTTCATGCAAATGTATTCATGACATTTTTTCAGTGAATTTTATTGCTTTTCACTTTTTAACAAACTGCCAATACCCAGAAGCAGGTACCACATTCTGTTTTTGGCTCTAGTCGCTAACGTAGCAGAAGACGACATTTTTACGACATTTACTTGTGCGTTTACATGTTGGTCATATGTACACAGTAGTTGTTCGGCGACTAGGAAGACACTCTTTTCAAAACAGCTGTTTTGGGTTTGAAGCAACACCGGTATAGAGAGAGAGAGCAAAGACACTCAACCATGTATCGGTGTTATTTGCAGTTGTAAAATATGTAATTCGTTTAACTAGAAAAGGATCTCGAGATTATAAATCGAACTATTTACTTTTACTATGTGGGATTATGAAGTAAATCACAAATTTCCACACGGGCCGAAAATTCCAATAATCGAATAAGGAATTGAATCAATGCTGAAAATCTGCAATTTGATTCGAATGTCGATATTTTTGAAAGTAGGTATGTGTATCACAATAACAGGTGTGTAACACATACCTGCAGTGACATAACTCGAACACGTATTTATTTACATAGTGTTCGATACAAAATCCATAGAATTCATGCTCCTCTTCGTAATGCATTGTAGCTGGAAACCTTTTTGCTTAAGCGACGGTTTACTGGAGGAGAGGCAGAAACTCTAGTAAAAAATGCCGAGATATTGACACCACATTTTTTTGAAAATATCCTGCTCTACCTTTATGAACTAAAACTGTATCGTTCAAATGTTTTATGAGTTATCATCTCTCTAATGACAGGTGTTATGTATGCAGGGCAACATCGAAATCTGCATTTTTGTAAACACAGTACAGGTCGCATTTATTACACGATATAGATGAAATTTTCCACAAGTTATTTGTTTGATTCAAGGACAAATCCTATTGAAATTTGAGCAATTGGCCAAAATTTCGATATAGCTCCCATTTATATCTTCGTTCGATTTGCCTTTTATTGTGCACCAAAGGTGTAATATTAGCCCAAATTGGATGGAATTAAGCACTTACGACCAAATAGAGCCTAGAAACCAGTATGTCAAATTTGGTGAAAATCGCTTCAAATATAGCCATAGCTTCCATACATAATGTTCATCCGATTTGATATTTTTGTCCTCCGCAGCCGTAATATGCACTCTGTAATAACGATATTTGGGGAAATATATCAAATACAGCACAGAAGTACCTTTCCTAAATTGTATCGAGATCGGTTCAGATTTGAATATAGCTTCAATATATATCTTCGTCCGATTTGCCCTTTATATTGCACCAAACGTGTAATATTAGCCCAAATTGGATGGAATTTGGCACTTATGACCAAATTAAGCCTTGAATCAAGTATGTCAAATTTTGTAAAAATCGGTTCAGATATAGCTACAGCTCCCATATATATTGTTCATCCGATTTGTTATATTTTGTATTTTTTACTACTTTACTAAATTTGCAAAAGGGTATAGGGTATCATAAAGTCGGCCCCGCCCGACTTTTAGACTTTCTTTTCTGTTTTTTTTTTTCTCTCTTCTCGAAAAATTAAAATTTTTTCAGTTTTGTGGCAGTCACCACTTTAAACTTTTGTCATTGGAAAAGTATCCCTGCTCTTCTCAGATACGCACACACATACACTCATATACCTTCATTCCTTTAAGTACTGACAAAAATATTGTTTGTTTTATGCTTCGCATACCAAACGTGATCCTTCATCCTTTGCCAAAAAAAGCAAAAAAAAAAAAAATAAAACTGTCTTTTATTGGATTTAAACTTTAATTTCATTTTGACCAATATTTTCACAAGTGAATAAACCCCTCCTGGATAGCAATAACACTCAACATCTTTATTGATACAGGGACAAAATAAGTATGAGTTTGTGTCCCGATAGCTATGTGTTTTCATGTACGTATGTGTGTGTGTGAGTGTAATTGCATTTAACAAACATTGACAATCTATCAAAATTGATTTAATTTGCAATAGCAATGACGTCAACACACCAACAACAACAACAACATCTCAACATCAAAAATAACTGATAATAACAAGGATTGGAAGGCGATGACTGGACCATGCTCCTCCTCCTTTGGGACACGTTAATAACCCCCGGCAAAGCTTTCTTTTCTCCGAACGTCCATGTTTACATAGGCTAAAATGCAATTTGCGGCAATGACACGTATTCAATACGACCGAACGACCAACCGACCGACCGGCAACAACATGATCATCGTCATAATGCAACATGTTGAACCACTGCTGTATGACACACAGAGAGGCACACTCAAACACCCATTACAAGTGTTGGCTGCTTGTTGGAAAAAGACCACATCTCTTGTCCTATCTACCCTTGGCTGAGCAACTTCCCCCCCGGACAAAATTATTGTTATGTTCGGGTATCGGGTATTGTTTGTGTGTTGGTCTTCGAACCCTGGCATCATCACATTATGTCACAAGACAGCCTGACACTATCATTGTTACAACATCATGTCGCAAAAGAACAAACTAGGCAAAAAAAAAAAACGCTTGATGGCTACAGAGCAATGCCAGTTGAAGTTAGTTTTGAGGGTTGGCGGGAGAGGGGTGATAAAAAAGAATGATGCCAGTGAAGTTTGGTTGGATGGGACCAGTTGAAAGTGTGTTGAAATATGCCTCAGCTTTGAATGGGTGAACGTGGTGTGAATGTTACACTCACTTACAATGTTGCATGACCAGAATGATATGGAGGGAAGTGTTGGGGCTCCCGAGACCCACATCAGCACTATATCATATTGATTTTGACAAATAACCAAGGGTTGATGGACATGTTGCCCTGTGAAGCCTCCAAAGAAAATACTGATGTCGATATTGATGCTGTTCAGTGGGTTTGGATGATGATCATGACACTATGTCGTCCCCTCCTCCTCCCGGTCATAATTGAAACTTGGATAATAGTACTACTGCTGCATGTCCTTGCTCTACACCACAATGGTTTTGGCCAGCCACAATGCAATGCATTCCATGGTGGCTGTTTGTGATGCCGGGTAAAATATGGTGATGTCATGTCAATGCGACGAAATAAAAATTGGAAGATTGGAAGATATGGTTGGTTGGATTTTACAAAACTTTTCATGAAGTAAATTTTGCTGTAATTGCGATATTATGTTTGAGTGAAAAACATTAAGTTTGGAGCATAGTTTAAGTGGTCTAAATAGTATATTCTGCGTCGACATTGATATGGCGAAAAAGTAATGGATAACTAACCATTGTTTATTGAATATTGGTATCAGAAAAGGACATAACAGAATCCATGTCGTGAGCACAAACGGACCAGGGCCGTAAAACTGTTTATTCAAAAGTACTTTTACCTCACACTCATATAACTAAGCTAATCTAACTATAATCTATTAAAAATGTTAAATGAAGTCAATTCGCTACTCCGAATTGCAGCAAAACTAATTTCATAATTTTTGTATTAACATTACTCTGTTTAAAGCCACAATTCTTCGTCCCATAATTTGGCCTAAGTTGTCAGACTAAGGTTTCACAAATTGTTAAATGCGGCCATTCCAAAAACAAGCCCAGCTCTTTGTCTTGGAATGACTCACACAAAATTGAAACAGAAATGTGAAAGTTGAATGCTGTGAGAATGAAGCGATCAGGCAAAACACGGCATTCCATTCAAGCTATTGATCGCTACTAACTACGATGCGAACAAAGAATAAATTACGTCAAAAGCAGTGACAGAAGCGAATATCTCTTAGATTGCTTTAGCATCGGCCCGTATCAGTTATTTCGCACATAGTTTCAAGGTTAAACAACAAACGGCTATTGCTAATTATAACAGTTTCAAATTGATTTGCGGGGCGATCGAGTTCTATAAATCTAAACAAAATAAGGCAACAAGGAATTAACATGATTCGCATTTACAATGAAGTCTTAGAATGGCGTGAAATTTGTTTTCCGCAAGAGCTGAGTAAGATTTCATAATATTTTATGATAATTTAGACCCAGAAGATTCTCTTAGTTAGTGCATGAATTTATACCAGACATTCTGTCTCGAACATACTGCCTGAAATAAAGCAACTACTACTACTTTAATGAATAAACTCTCTGCATTTGTAAAAGATTGCCCTTCTCGTTCTAGTTTCACTAAGTTGCCTTTTAAATCTTTTCATTTGACCATATCTAAATCCCCATACCCCAATCCATGGCATGCAGGTCATCTAAGTCACACACACACACACATACCCACGTGTTAATGTGCAACCGATATCAGCCGCAGCAGCAAAGGGACAATGTTCAAATCGAGTGCATGACAGTATCTCCGGCATTGCCAAAGGGATTGTTTTTCACAGGGACCTTTTGACTTCCTAACCCCCCCCCCCCCCCCTTCTCTCCCTCTCTCACTCACCGCTCACAGAGCAATTTAAGTGGAAAATTACATTTTCCAAAATTGTCTATGTATGACAGTGTCCATGCTTGTGTGTGTTGTATACAACTTCCTTCCTTCCGTATCCGGGTTTTTTCTCCTTTATTTTTGTTTTTGTTAGACACAGGCTAGCCTGACTGGTTGTAACATCACAAAATCGTTGTTAGAGAATGTCATAAC